GGTCCAGTGGTGAGGATTGTTGTTTTCTTGACATTGAGATGTAATCCATACCGAAGGCTGTGCTCTTTGATATTCATCAGTAAATGTTTTAAGTCCTCTTTACTTTCAGCAAGCAAGGTTGTATCATCTGCATATCGCAGGTTGTTAAGGAGTCTTCCTCCAATTTTGATGCCACGTTTTTCTTCATAGAGCCCAGCTTCTCAGATTATTTGCTTAGCACACAGGTTGAATAAGTATGGTGAAAGAACACAACCTTGTCGCACACCTTTCTTAATTTTAAAACATTCAATATTCCCACGTTCTGTTCGAACATGGAATGCCACTGGACTCTAAAAATCTCTTGAGAGGAATCAGCTTTGGAAACTGGTGTGGATTGGTTTGGGTTAGGGAAGGGGCTATGCTGTCCACCACCAAGCAAAAAGACCACCTCAGCCCATGTCCAGGAGTATTTCCTTGGGATAAGGTCAGATATTTTTATTAGCAATAACCTCAGCTGCCCTCTGAGTATCTTCATTTCAGAACACATAATCACCCTGGTGGTCACAGACAGGAAGGAGACCGGGAGCAAAGAGGTTAAGGCGCTCTAAATCCCTGCTAACACTTGCTTCTTCCTTCTCAGCAGGATTAGCTCCATCGGTAATGTAGCACGAGTCCAGACCCACGACCCTGAAGGACAGCTCGGGGCAGGTGCCATGCCTGGGTCCTGGGTGAGCTAGGCCAGACAGAGCTCAGACAGATTCACGGCTCCTGGGACTGAGCAGGCCCCCTGCCAGCCATGCTGACGCAGAGGACAAGGAGGCGGACTTGGAGCTACAAGCCCTGGAACCCTCAGGAAAGTGAGGATGAACCCCACACCGGGGGCCGCAGAAGCATTTGTTCAGTGGGCACACACGCAGGCTCCCAGGTCAGCGTCCTCCCCTGGACCGACGGCAACTACTACATGGAGGAGGATGAAGACGGTGCCGAGTTGGACCCGTGGAAGGACGAGTTGGCCGAGGAGACCAGCAGCGCCCCAGAGGCTGGCCTGGCCGATGCTCCATCCTTGTCGTCCACCCTGAACGTGAACGTGGGCGGTCAGAGCTACAGTCTGGACTCCAGCCAGCTAGCCTGCTACCCCAAGACGCGCCTGGGCCGCCTGGCCACCTCGGCCAGTCGCAGCAGCCAGCTGGGCTTATGTGATGACTACGAGGCGAGCACGGACCAGTACTTCTTCGACCGCGACCCGGCCGTCTTCCAGCTGGTCTACAACTTCTACGTGTCCGGGGTGCTTTTGGTGCGCAACGAGCTGTGTCCGCTCGGCTTCCTGGAGGAGCTGGGCTACTGGGGCGTGCGGCTCAAGCACACCCCTCGCTGCTGCCGAATCTGCTTCCAGGAGCGGCGCGACGAGCTGGCGGCGCAGCTGAAGATCCGGTGCCAACTGCGTGCCCAGGCGCTCGCCGAGGAAGCCCCGGAGCCCTTCCTGCACATGCGCTTCTACGGCCTGCAGCGCCACCGCCTCTGGAACCTTCTAGAAAATCCCTTTTCGTCGGTAGCCGCCAAGGCCATCGGGGTGACCTCCAACCTGTTCGTGCTAGTATCTGTGGTGGCGCTGGCGCTGAGCACGGTGGAGGAGCTGCGACGGCCGCTGTTGGAACACGTGGAACTGCTATGCATCGCCTTCTTCACCCTGGAATACCTGCTGCGCCTGCTCTCCACGCCCGACCTGCGCGGCTTTGCGCGCAGCGCCCTCAACCTGGTCGACCTGGTGGCCATCCTCCCGCTCTACCTGCAGCTGCTGCTCGAGGGTGTCATTGGTGAGGGTGGCCAGCGTGCAGCGCGTGAGCACGACCTGGAGACTGTGGGCCGCGTGGGCAAGGTGGGTCAAGCGCTGCGTACTATGCGCCTGATGCGCATCTTCCGCATCCTCAAGCTGGCACGTCATTCCACCGGCCTGCGCGCCTTCGGCTTCACTCTGCGTCAATGCTCCGAGCAGGTGGGCTGCCTGCTGCTCTTCATCGGCGTGGGGATCTTCACCTTCTCTGCGGCCGTCTACTCCGTGGAACACGACATGCCTTGCACCAACTTCACCAGCATCCCCCACTCGTGGTGGTGGGCCGTAGTGAGTATCCCACGGCCCTGGGGCCTGCGGGGCCAGCAACCCGGGCCTTGCAGAAGCTGGCTCTCCTTTCACTGGGCTATCATTCCCTACTGGGAAAATTCTGACCTGTCCCCCACTCTGCTCTCTCCTCTCCATGGCTGCCTCCTTTGGAGGAAACAGCCGCGGTGGGATACCCGGGTGAGTGGAAAGAGTTGGAAAGGCAGGAACGACGTTACACTGGGTCCTGGTATTCTTGTTGGATGCCGACTTGGAGAGACCCCATGTGGCATAGTAAAATTGTCCACGGTTGTCTTGGCTGTATCTTTACTGGGGCACATTACCAGGTCTTTCTCTGGAGGAGTTTCTGGGTAAGTTGGAACTACCAGCCTTGCCTTGAGTGTCCGAACACTTGAATACTTCCAGTTTTACCTTCAGGGTCCATGGCTTGGTCCTTACAATCACCTGGTCAGACTTACTCTTAAAATACAGGGCAGGCAGATTTCAAGAAGGATTCAATTTTTTATGTAGGTGGGAAGTAGTTACCACTTTATTGAGCACTGGTTATGTTAAGTGGAGCCATAGGCAGTGCAAATGGTCCGCTCAGGAGCTAGCCAAAATGTGGAAGGTTCAAGTCCACCCGGAGGCACCTAGGAAGAAAGTCCTGGCCATCAAGTTTTAAATAGTCAACCACTGGAAACCTAGGCGGTACAGTTCTACTCTGACACACCAGCAGTTGTCTTTGGTCAGTTGGCTGCATGGTTCTGTGGTGTGATGGGAAGTGTAGAGTACCTGCTTCTAGCCCCAAATCTGCCCGTCGTTAACTAGGATACCTCATCCCATACTCGCTGGTCTTCAGTCATCTTCTCTCTGGAAGGGGAGGTTGGACTTGGAGAGGAAGATCTTTCACAAGGTAGACTGACTCAGTGGCCGCCGCATAATAATTGTGAGGATGGCATCGTACTGGAAAGTGTGCCATTCTTTTGTAAAGGGGAGCTTCAACAAGTTCATGGGAAAATTCCATTATCTTTCAATTCCATTGTCCACAGACTTTTTGAAGCCCCCGCCCCCCCTTGTGTCACGGTTGCTATGAGTCAGAGCTGCCTCAAGGACACCCAGCGAGAACAATTCAATGGCTGTTGGTCCCTTCAGGGTTTGGCAAGCTTACTGCATTGGCAGGATGACCTGAACTCCTCATCCAAGAGCTAGCCAAAGGTCACTCCTCTGATAATACTGCAACCGTAAAAGGTCATCCCCATAGTAGATAAACTGTGTGTACAGATGGAGCTGACAGAGGGTGGATGATCCTAGCGGAGGACACTGACTTCGGCGCTGGGCACAGCAAAAGCCACATGCTAATGATGGAATACAGACTGCAAGGGAGTCCAAATGCCCTTAACCAAAAGACCTTTACAGTCTCAGAACCCGCTGGGCTCTTTGATACTACTGCCTTAATCCATAAAACATTTTCACCTTTGGTATGCTCATCTAAAGATTTTGATATGAATTCTGTTCCTTATGTTGGTTTTGTAATATTTTTTTAGAAAGAATTTCTCGGAGTACATGTCCTATGTTTCTGTATGTCCTATGTTGATCTACTGAGTGAACGATATTTGTTGTTGTTGTTAAGTGCCATCAAGTCAGTTCCAACTTATAGTGACCCAGTACATGGTTTCCCATGAGCGGCTGGTGAGCTTGAACCACTGACTTTGCAGTGCAGCACATTAACCCACTGCGCCACACCAGCACTCCACCCCACCTAAATCCCCCTCCATATCTTCACTGAAGCTATTTTTCTCCGGAGCAGCATTTTCGATGCATTTTACAATAAGAATTGCTTCACCGTTCAGCTTTCCCCCTTCATTTTCTTTTTCTGTGTAACCAAGGCTACCTTTGCCAACGGGAGTCCTTTCCTTTGGTGGCCATTGTTCCTTTCAGGCACTATTTTCATTGGCCAAATTTTGCACATTCCAACCTTACTGTACACAGTTCTGGTCCTAGCTCATTTTATTCTCTAAGAATGAAAGGAGCCCTCGTCCTGGTAGCACTGTGGGTTTAGGTGTTGGGTTGCTAACCAAAAGGTTGGTGGTTCAAACACTAGCCGCTCTGAGGGAGAAAGATGATGCTATCTGTTCCTGTAAAGATTTGCAGTCCCAGAAACTATATAGGGTCAAGATGAACTCAGTGGCACTGTGGGATAAAGCATTGAACCCCAAGGTCGGTTTGAAGCACAAGGTTCAAACTCACCAGCGGCTCCTTGGAAACCCTCTACAGGGTTGCTATGATTCAGAGTAGACTCCAGGACACTTAACAACAACAACAACATAATCATTATAAATTAATTGATAAAAGACTTTGTGTCTAAACTTACATAAATGCATAACCATACAAACAATAATAGTAATTCTCCATGGATATCCTAGGGCAGTTCTCATCCCCAGGGCTGATACGGCTTCATTCCAATTCTTCTCTGCACTTGTGGTCACAAGCCTAGTGGGTACTAAACATTCATATTCTCAGTTGTTGTTAAGTGCCGTCGAGTCAGTTCCAACCCATGGCAACCCAGTATAGGGTTTCTGAGGAGTGACCGGTGAGCTTGAACCATTTACTTAGCGGTTCAGACGACTTTGCAGTCCTGTGCATTAACCCACAGCACCATACCAGGACTTCATATTCCCAGTAGAACAGAGAAAAGAGCCCTGTTCCAATGTGGGCCGAGCTGCCTGTGTCGCTGGGAGGTGGCTATGCAAAGTGAAACGATGGAAAATGTCTTCCATGAAAATGTTCCAAATCTCCAACGCGCCACGTCAGTTACCAAAACACCAGGCGATCCCCATGTGTCCGAGAGGAGAACTGCGCCTCGGGGTTTTCAAGGCCGTGACCTTTCAGAAAGAGATTGCCAGGCCTGTCTTCCTAGGCACCACTGGGTGGGTTTGAGCTCCCAACCTTTCAATTAGTAGTCATGTGCTTAACTGTTTGCACCACCCAGGGAATCCGTTTTCAAGTTAGTTGTTATGTGCCGTGGAGTTGGTTCCGACTCATAGCGACCCTGTACAAGGTTTCTGAGGCTGTAAATCTTTACGGGAACAGAAAGCTTCATCTTTCTCCTGTGGAACAGCCGGTAGTTTTGAACTGCTGACCCTGAGATTAGCAGCCTAATTCGTAACCACTTCAGCTGAGTGCAAAGGAGGACGTAGTAACGGTCTGGCTACTAACCAGAAGTCTGGTTCCATGGGAGAATGATGTGACCATTTGCTTCCATACAGATGAAGCTTTGGAAGCCCTATGGGGCAGTTCTACTCTGTCCTGTGAGTAGGATCGTGGTGAGTCAGAATTGCCTTGCTGCATACAACAACAACCATTCCACCATCCAGGAACTTCTACTAAGGTTACAGAGTGAAAGGAAAAAGGAAACATTTCCTTCCCTCCAGGAACTTCCATTCTAGTGGGCAGGAGCAGAGAAAATATTTTCAGATATGTGTGTATCAAAGGACGGATTACAGTAGGCAAATCTGTTGCACAAGACCTCTTTAAAGTATTCAAGAGCAAAGATGTCAGTTTGAGGACTAAGGTGCACCTGACCCAAGCCAGGGTATTTTCAGTTTTCTCATATGCATGTGAAACTTTGACAGTGAATAAGGAAGACTATAGAAGGATTGATGCATTTGAGTTATGGTGTTGGAGAAGAATATTGAAAGTACCATGGACTGCCAAAAGAACAAATCAATCTGTGTTGGAAGCACAGCCAGAATGCTCCGTAGAAGCCAGGATGGTGAGACTTTATCTCTCATACTTTACACATATTATCAGGAGGGACCAGTCCCTGGAGAAGGACATCATGCTTGGTGAAGTGGAGGGTCAGAGAAAAGAGGAAGATGCCCAATGAGATGGATTGGCACAGTGGCAGCAGCTATGGGCTCAAGCATACCAATGATTGTCAGGATGATGTAGGACCGGTCAGTGTTTCCTTCTGTTGTGCACAGGGTCGCTATGAGTCCCAGCTGATTCGATGGCATCTAACAACAACAAGGGACTTCTGCTAAGGATACAGAGTGAACAGCAAAAGGGAGCAGTTCCTTCCTTCAGGGCACTTACATTCCAGTGGGCGAAGGCAGAAAAGTATTTTCAGATTGCGTGTGTGTGTGTGTGTGTGCGCGCGCGTGTGTGTGTGTGTGTAAAGGGTAACAGAGTGGAGAAGGACTTGTGTGGCGGAATGTACCATTGATGAGATTGTCAGAGAAGCTCTTCTGGAGAAGGTGACATTTGAAGAATGAGAAAAAAAAACTCATCTAAATACACATGGCTAAGCAGACCTGAGAGTCCTGGGGTGGTGCTGTGGGCTAATGCACCAGACTGAAAAGCCATTTGAACTGCAAGGTCGGCGGTTCAAGCTCACCTGCTGCTCCTCGGACACCCTATACAGGGTCGCTATGGGTTGGAATCGACTCGATGGCACTTCACAACAAGAAGCAGAGCTAGGGAAACTTCGTCTCACATGTTTTCAGGAGGGACCAGTCCCTGGAGGAGGACATTGTGCTTGGTAAAGTGGAGGGTCAGAGAAAAAGAGGAAGACCCACTGGCTGCAACAGCATGTTCCAGTGTAAGGAGTGTGAGGCTGGGGCCGGACCAACCCGTGTTCCCTTTGTACAGAGGGTTGTTCCAAGTCGGAGCAGACTCAATGGCCCCTAACAAAACCAGCCAACAAGCCTGAGAATCTGAGACATGAAATCCTACAAGTTACTCTGATCCAATTGTTTCCAACCACTTTACTGATACTGCACCTGATAAAATAAAAATTGTGTGTGTACACCATGATAAAAATATACTCCGAAAACCCAAACCAACTGCCTTCGAGTTGATTCTGACTCATAGAGACTTTGTGTAGAGCTTCCGGGAGCAGAATGTCTCCTCGTTCTTCCGAGAGCAGCTGGCGGATTCGAACTGCTGACTTTGTAGTTAGCAGCCTGACGTGTAACCCACAACACCTCCAGGGCTCCTTGATAAATTACACAAGGGAGCTTCAA